TATCACATGTTACAACAGATTTTTACAACAGATTTCAACAAATTTTACAAGAAACTTGATGTTTATTCGCTGTTCGGTTTTTATGTTAGACATTTTTCCGGCAGAATGCAATTGCACGTGTTCAGTAAATAACACAATACTTGCAGATGGTATGACCAATTCAATCGAAATTGTCAACATGGATAGAGGAGGTATGTGGGATGATGCCACAAAAACAATTGCTGTCAATTCCATTGTTTTTTCAAGCTACAGACCTAGTCTCGTTACTTTTGTGTCACACCTCGTATATTGTATTATGGTGTGATCGGTGGCGAACATCGAGGCCAACCGAAATTCTGAACGACGATCGGCATTTGTCATCGACGTTGTCGGTGGTAATAACGGTTGGAAAAAACACAGTCGATTGAAACCTGTTACGACGTGCACATCGCCTTCCGTTGCTTTCTTTATTAAAATATATGTATATACAGATTATTAACCTTCTATTACGAGTATACGCCTTATTTTATTCATCCTGACAAATACTATTACACAGACAAGAAAGGAATGCAGGTCGTGAAGGCGTTACTATAAAGGACCAATCAGGACAATTTGTACTTTGGGAAAAATAGTGACTGGTGAAACAGTTCAGCGAATGAGATCGCGAGACCTTTATCCCTCACTCCAAGGGTATAAATGCTGTTGGTTAATACGGTGATTCACACACTTGAGTGATTTGGGTCCTTTAAAGGAACTCTGTAAGCCCAAGTGCATTGGCCCGACAGGTAGAAAAAGACTGCATAGCCACTGTACACCGCAGGGGTGCACAGTTTAGGATCAAAGAAATAGAGTTTTTTAAGGAAAGATATATTGACACTAGAATGATGTGCTTTTTAGCCTGTTAGAAGGCTGTTGACAATAGTTAAGAACGTCAAGTTGTGAAGACGTTATTGAAAAGTTTAAGATTTGTTATTCGAAACTTCTTTATCTTAAACGACTAGGTTTGGTGCTACTTGAATATATTATATTCAGAGTCGGGCAGTTTTTATAATTAGTAATTTTAATTGGAGAAGCAGTCGAATATACTGTGAACAAGACTTAAATTATAGCTCGTTTATTACACGTTTGATTAACATAAAATGGTTTATACTCATTACTGGCTTCAGTGAAATAAAATGTAGTGTTAAGTAAATGATTACAGATCATGGTCAATCGATTATATCACTGTAATCGAATGAACACGATTGCAACACTCAGCGATAAAAATAATGAATTTATGCTAGGTTCAGGTAACATAAATTCATAAGTGTCAGTTCTCTAATGCACAAATTGCCATTGTCATTCGTTAATAAGTCGAACAACTGCTATTAGGAAAAAACTTGTCAGTCGTGTTCATAACATTAGACCAGGAGTCAGTAACCTGTTATCTGCGGTTTATCGAGTGATTTATTTCATAATTTAAATTGCAATTATATCATAACTAAGAATTATTGACGCCTGCATTAAACTCTATTAAAGAAAATGGACTTGTAAATGTAAATGCACTATGTTTCTTTGAGACCACTATGTCATTTATCAGTTAGGATATTCATTTGCGTTATTAGATTGCCGTTTAAACAAATTCAGCAACGAACCAGTGCCCGTTGAATTATTAGTAAATTATTATTAGCAAAGTTGAATGTAACGATGAGACATACTCATCAAGTAAATCTTGTCGATTTCCAAACAAGTACGTAAAAGTTTCCCCACAATCTGTCCTAAGAAACCAGTGCTTCCAGTGAATAGAATCCTCTTTCAAGCATAAAAATGTCGCATCTGACCACCATCGTTCCAGTTTTTGTTTCTTCTAGTTATTATTGCCTATAAATCACTTCAATATGGTTTACAAATGTCTCTGACAGATTTCAAGTTAGTTATTTTAGAAGTCAACTATATTTCTGTAGAATTTTCGATGTGTCACAGCGAAAAATCTAACTTTCCGTGATAATTAGAATCCTTATTTTAAACAGGAGATTTCAATTCCTAATTTAAAATAAAATGTAGTATTAATTAAATGATTAACTGATTAAATGATTTGACTTTATAATAAATTAGACACCTTTAATGCCTCATATATTTATTATACCAAAACCTTTATATAAAAAAATTGTTAATAAAATGCTATACTTATTATTTTGAACACAAAAACCATTATAAATATTACGAAACAAGTGCACATAGCATAGTGTATTATCATAAACTTTCGAAATCTTTCCCTGGCTGCAGGGATTGAATCCTTTGATTCTTTCATTAAATGTGTCTTCATACCAAGACAAAAGTCATACATAAATTTATCCCACTCGATTTTTCCCAAATCGAAAGGAAATTCTTCATAATCAGCTTTATTCATATGAATGAGGATATTTTGGGTGTTTCCTACTTCGACAATCCAAGTGTTACATAAAAAGTAGTGTAGCGAACTATTGAATTCTGCTATCTTCAGCGTTAGCTCTAGGCCTCTGTAAAAATAAATATGGATTATCAGATTTTAAAGCATCAAAAGTAGAAATATTTGAAATTGATATTTAACGATATGAAGCTTAGTCCATAAATCTTTATGCACTAAGAAATGTATTAAAATTAAACGTAAATAATAGTTAAAATTAAAACTAAATTAATAATAAATATAAATATAAAAGAGAGGAAATAGAATCAAAATATTAATTTTAATAAAATTACATGACGTTTTATTACTCACCGTCCTTTCTTTCCTGTAATCCAACAACCGAAATCATACACTGCTGCAGGAATAATATTGAATACCGCGTTAAGTATGACGAAAAGATAATAATGTCTCGTGAGTATCACAAATGGATACCAATACATATTGTTTAATGGATATTTTTGCACTCCCCTTACTTTCAACACCTGATACATTTGATCGAAAATAGGTTTCCAATAAGATGAACCATAGTTGTATACTTGTGGTCCGTCAGATTTCCTAAACAAAGCGATGGATCAAAAACCTACGGTGTTTATTCATGCACGGAAATGCATATACTGAGAAAGTTCTCAAGTTTATCAATAAATTTTCGTTACTTGCGTGTACTCAAGTCCCAAATGCTTGCCAGCAGACAGTTAACCGTCATATCAATTGGAACGAAATCAATGATAGTGTCGGATCTCACAGGCAGAGAATGCACTATACCCATTCCATATAGAAGTAACAACCCGGAAACTCCAGTTCTACTCGATATCCACCCTGGGACTGGTTCTCTGGCCGATGATATAACTGTTGCAAAATTGAATAAATTAAGCGTCTTATTTTTTTGTCAGTTTTATCAATATATGTTTAGAATATGTTGATAATGTTTGGCGTAATAAACTAGAGCGTACTGTTATTGTTAATTATATCTTACAAGTGGAAACATGTAATTTTTATACTTTTCTCAACATTCTTTTCATATTTTACTAGAAAAGATAGCATAACGATGATCTTACTTATCGAAGGCCTATAGATAGCGCAAGGGATTGAGGTTTTTCGTCCGAACTCCTCAACGAAGCCTTCGGCAATGGCTTTGGAGTAGGTATACGAGTTAACCCATTTTCCTAATATTTTTTTCAACGTACAGTTGCAGAATCCGTTTGGAATTGATTTGTCGACTTGTATCAAATCCTCGACCATACGTATATCACCAGGAGGTGTATAAAATTTTTCTTCAATTCGAGTGTTCTGAGACTGACTATACGCGGATGAAACGTACACGAATGCTTGAAGATTAGTGCACTTTTCCGCTAAATCGAGCATATATTTGGTGCTTAACGAGTTTGTCTTCAAGATGGAAGATAATCTTGTGAAAAATGATGTATCTGCTGCATTGTGAATAATTACGTTGACATTCTGCGTTAGGAGTTTGTAGTCTTCCAATGAAAGATCCAAATTAACCTTTTGTATGTCACCGGAGATTGCGTGCAGTTTTGACTTAAAATTGGGATTCGTCTTCTGCAGTACTTCGAAAACCTGCAAACAACGCAGCCATAAATTTTAGGACTCAAAACAAAAACGATTCTAAAAATAATAACGAATAATTATTATGAAGATATTCTGGTTGAATCAGTTGTGGAGCTCTGTTAGAAATTCATTTAACACAATGCAAATTCATGAATAGGGGTACCAATAGAAAACGAGAGACTGTAAAGGATTGACAGATGAGACACAGGACACAAAATGTTTTCAGTAGGTTGAGACAATTAATTGTTCCATAGAAAATTCGCATGAAATTTGAATCAGAAACATTGTTTAATTTTTATGTCTTATACTCTCAAATATTATATACATATTGCATTACACGCACACATTTCTTCTATGTTTTATGTTATATAATGTTCTCTTTAGTTTCTTATTCAAATTTGAATAATTTACCTACACATACGAAAAGACAATTCAAGCATTATTTAGTCACTTTTATGTCCGAAATGTATTAATTGCCTTCAGTCCACCCATACTCCTTCAAATACGAATATAAAAAGTCTTAATGACATGATTTCCTATGGAAATTCGGGTGTTTCTTCATCTGAGGGACGTGACATTGAACATGTTTAAACGAATTATCGTTCAAGATAAAGAAATTTGAAGCACTTACAGGACTTTGGAAATATTTTTCCATTCGCTCCTCGACTGTCATGTTCCCTCTAGTCCTGACTATCAAGTAAATCTCGTCGATTTCCAAACAAGTGCGTAAAAGCTTTTCCACTATTCCTGCTCCTAAGAAACCAGTGCTCCCAGTGAGTAGAATCCTCTTTCCAGCATAGAATTGTCGTATCTGACCACCATCGTTCCAGTGTTTGTTTTTCTCAATTATGGCAGTTTCCTCTAGTTGCCTCATCTCGCTTACGTTGTTCACCATAAAACTCATTTTCTTATTTCACGATTGCTTCATAAGTCACTTCAGTATGTTTTTCAAATGCTATTTATTTTGCCAATTTTTGTTGTGTTACAAGAACACCAGCAGTTATCTCGATGACAGCCGTTGCTTTAAACTTACATGCGTCAATATTCATATTATATATACTTGGTATCACCATTATGCCACATTTTTCTTCTTTGCGTTTTTGTAACTGTATTCCATTTTTATGAAAATAATTGCCTCTAATTGCCGTTTCATCCATGAATAATTCATCCTAATATTTATTTTATGATTTCCATTCGTTTCTGAAGTGATTTCATGTTGTCAAAAAAATGAAACAATGTATGATTTTAATGTTTGAACTTTAACTAAAAGATGCTTCTCTTTTAGTTAAAGTTCAACTACTTTCACTACTTTTAATTCACAAGTTGTCCCATGTGTTAAAATGAATTATTCATTATTATTAAAATATTATACGTCATAAGCTGTTTCTGCAACTATGCAAAATCGTCAATGAGGGTAATACAATAAGGTAATAAAGATTTAATGTGTTTACCTACTTTATAAATGTACATTCATAAATGCAAAAGTAAAACTTTATTAAGTGGTTAGCTTGAATATTCGAAAATATGTTGAATTTCCATATTGAAAGTGGCAAAAATAAATACATTAAGAAGTCGATAATGTATACCGATGTCGGTAATAAGAAGTCGATAATTATGAATGTTAGTCTATCGATTACTTACATGATGTCACTCGTTTTAATTTATTTCGAATATCCAGGAAGTAAAAAGCAGCATTTTCGACACCTGCTCTTCTTCTGTTAATTTCTGTTATTCTATTTATATTAATACTTGCATTTATTCAATAAAAGCCATACTATATTTCCATTAAAATACTTTGTTAGTTAATATTATGAAGTAATCAAGTGTATTAGGAAAAATCTTGTCAGTCATGTACATAGACTAAGAGTCAGTAACCTGTTATCTGTGGTTCTTCGAGTTATTCACTTCATAATTTCCAATGAACACATGAACACTTATGTTTGTAGTTTAAAAACGTATTGTAATTATATTCTTAACTAAAGTTACCTCATGACAAAATTAACATGGACCTTGTTTTCCCTCATATATTTATTACACCAAAAGATTTGTATAAACAAATAGTTAACAAAATACTGAACTCATTGTTTTGAACACAAAAAACATTGCAAATACTAAGAAACAAGTGCAGATAGTATAATGTACCATCCTGAGCTTGCGAAATCTTTCCCTGGCTGCAGGAATCGAGTCTTCCGATTGTTTCATTAAATATGTTTTCATAGCAAGAGAAAAGTCATACATAAATTTATCCCAATCGAGTTTTCCCAAATCGAAAGGAAATTCTTCATAGTCAGCTTTATTCATGTGAACGAGGATATTTTGGGTGTTTTCTACATCGACAACCCAACAGTAAGAAAAAAGACAGTGTAGCGTGCTATTGAATTGTGCTATCTTCAGCGTTAGCTGTAGGCCTCTGTAAAAATAAATATGGATTATCAGATTTTAAAGCATCAAAAATAGTAGTATTTGAAACTGATACTTAATGATACGAAGCTTAATCCTTTACGTGACTCGTTATGTTTATATTCCCTATTAACGACGTCTTTTCCACAAGCTACAAAGAACAGGGCAGAAAAAACGCAATCTCTTTATCGCTTTATACATACATAAGTATACTAAGCAAAAGAAAGTGTTACAATTTGAACTCTTTTCAACAAAAGTGAAAGTATTTAATTAAGAGATATAATACAATTAATATAATTAATATATTTGTATCAAAATAAGAAGTTATTAAATTTAATCTACCAAATTTCTAACCTAAACAAATTAATAATAAAATTCCTACATCACCAATTCGACCACTAAAAATTGTTAATATACCAGCTTTATAAGCATATCTATTTTCATAGTAAATAACAAAACAGTATATATTTTTTATCTATATTATATATAGATAAAATAAATATAAATATTAAAATTCTAAATCGATTAAATTACGCACCGTCCTTTCTTTCCTGCAATCCAACAACCGAAATCATACACTGCTGCAGGAATAATGTTGAATATCACGGACAGTATGACGAAGAGATAATAATGCCTCGTGTATATCATAAATGGGTACCAGTACATATTGCTTAATGGATATTCTTCTAATCTCTTTATACTCAACATGTGATACACTTTGTTGAAAAAAGGTTTCCAATGAGATGAACCATAGTTGTACACTTGTGGTCCGTCCGATTTCCTAAACAAATCGGTGCATTAAAAACATACGGTGCTTGTTTATGCACGGAAATGCATACATTGTCGAAATAAAATGTTATAGTTTGTACGATACTATAGTATCAAATAATACTTGTATATGTGACAATTGCATCGTAATGAAACTAATAACGACATGATTCCATGAAAAATCGCGACGATATAATGAAAGTTCCCAAGTTTATCAATAAATTTTCCTTACTTGCGTGTACTCAAATCCCAAATGCATGCCAGCAGAGAGTTAACCGTCATATCAATCGGAACGAAATCAATGATAGTGTCAGATCTTATTGGCAGACAGTGCATTATACCCAAGGAATATACAAGTGTCAGCCCGGAAACTCCAGTTTTATGTGTTATCAACCCTGGTGTTGGTTCTTTGGCCGATGACATAACTGTTACAAAATTGAATGAATTAAGTGTCTTATTTTTTGGTCGCCGTTACCAATATATCTACAGAATATGTTGATAATGTTTGGCTGTAATAAATTAGAGCGCACTGTTATTGTTAATTATATCTTACAAGTGGAAACATGTAATTTTTGTACTTTTCTCAACATTCTCTTCATATTTTACTATAAAAGATAGCATAACGATGATCTTACTTAACGTAGGCCTATAGATAGCACAAGGGATCGTGCTTCTTCGTGCGAACTCCGCAACAAAGCCTTCGGTTATAGCTTTAGAGAAGGTATACGTGTTAACCCATTTTCCTAATATTTTGCGCAATGTATGTTTGTTGAACCCGTTTGGAATTGCTTCGTCGGCTTTTATCAAATCCTCGACCATGCGTATATCACCAGGGGGTGTATAACATTTTTCCTCGATTCGATCGTTGTGAGCCTGACTATACACGGACGAAACGTACACAAATGCGTAAAGGTTAGTGCACTTTTCCGCTAAATCAAGCATATATTTGGTGCCTAACGAGTTTGTCTTCAAAATGGAAGATAATCTTGCAAAAAATGATATATCTGCTGCATTGTGAATAATTACGTTGACATTCTCCGTTAGGAGTTTGTAGTCTTCCGGTGAAAGACCCAAGTTAGCATTTTGTAGATCACCCTGCATTATGTGAATCTTTGACTTAAAATTGGGATTCTCCTTCTGCAGTACGTCGAAAACCTGCAAGCAACGCAAACGCCTGTTGTAAAATGAGTGCCAATGGAAAACAAGAGACTGTAAAGGGGTGACATATAAAGAAATTTGGTAGTTTTATACTTTTCTGATAATAAGCAAATGAGGCACAGAGCACAGAATGTTCTCAGTAGGTGGTGACAACTAATTGCTCCAAAGAAAGTTATTCGCATGAAATTTGAATCAAAAATATTGTTTAATTTTTATATCTTATACTTTCAAATATTATATGCATATTGCGTTACACGCACACGTTTCTTCTATGTTTTATGTTATATAATATTCTTTTTAGTTTCTTGTTCAAATTTGAATAATTTACCTACACATACGAAAAGACAATTCAAGCATTATTTAGTCACTTTTATGTCCGAAATGTTTTAATTGCCTTCAGTCCTCCCGTACTCCAAATACGAATATAAAAAGTCATAATGACATGATTTTCTATGGAAATTCGGGTGTTTCTTTATCTGAGGGACGCGACATTGATCATGTTCAAACGAATTATCGTTCAAGATAAAGGAATTTGAAGCACTTACAGGACTTCGAAAGTAGTTTTCCATTCGCTCCTCGACTGTCATTTTTCCCCTAGTCCTGATTATCAAGTAAATCTTGTCGATTTCCAAGCAAGTACGTAAAAGTTTTTCCACTATCCCTGTTCCTAAGAAACCAGTGCTTCCAGTCAGTAGAATCCTCTTTCCAGCATAGAACTGTCGTATCTGACCACCATTGTTCCAGTTTATATTTCCTCCAATTTTTCCAGTTCTCTCTACATGCAACATCTCGCTTACGTTGTCCATCATATAGCTCATTTGCTTATTTCACAATTGCTTCGTAAGTCACTTGAATATAATTTTCAAACGCTATCCACTCTGACTGTTTCCAAGTTAGTTATTTTAGAAGTCAACTATATTTCTATAGAATTTTTGTTGTGTTACAGGAATACCAGCGTTTGCCTCGATAGCAGCACATGCTTTATACTTATACAGGTCACTTGTCATATTATATAAGCTTGACATCACATTTAACAACCTTTTTTTTCTTATCGTTTTTTATAACTATAAATGCATAAAATATTTCATTATTATGTATGGATAGCATCTCTATGCTTGTTGCCATTTTTTCCATAATTTGTCCGTATCTGATTACGTCCTCTGCCACTTCTGATCATTTCAAAAGTATTTCCTTATTTTCAGGTGAACTTTTGATAAGCCGATTTTGATTTGTTTCTGACGCAGTTTCATGTTGTTAATAAAATGCAGTCATGTATGATTTTAGTGTTCGAACTTTAACTAGAAGGTACTTCTCGATTACTTTCCATCCACACGTTGTCCAACGTGTTGAAATGAATTATTCATTATTATCATAAAATTTTACACGTGATTAAGCTGTTTCTGCTTCTACGCGAAATCGTCAATGCTGGTAAATACAGATTTAAATACAGATTTTATGTATTACTGTTGAGGCTTTCGGGTGTAAACCGTGTCCTAAAGGAAACGAGTTCTCAACGTTTCGCCAGCATTGCAGCTAGCTTCATCAGGGGATACACTGAATCACTGTATGACGCCGGGCCGTGAAAGCCTCAAGTCACAGATTTTATGCGTTTACCTAATTCTTTTGTCCTTCATTTCGCGCATAAGTGCCATACTGTGTGAACAAAAACCTGGCATAAAAAGAAAAATATAAATGCAAAAGTAAAACTTTATTAAGTGATTAGCTTGACTGTTCGAGAATACTTCTTTATAATGAAGTAATCAAAAAATATTATGAAGTAATCAGATGTACAAAAACATTTTATCTTAATACAAAATGGCGGTGTTCATTGGCGTCTTCTAAGATAACAATCAAAGTTGCCTGATTTTCACTTTTGAAATTCCTTAAAACTTGTAAGACATACTTTTAGAAATATGGATTGAGCTAAAAAAAGTACAATTAGCTGCTGTAATGAACATATGTATTTGCATTCAACGATATATTTGTAAGAGCGTAATATTTAAATATATTATAATATAAAACCGATTGTATGTGTTTTGTAACAAATTCCTGCGATATGATTTTAGTCACTTTGCTTATTCATTAATTTCAAGCGTGCAGTACAATTACTAATGTATTTGCCACTTTTTAATACTAATCGACAAAAATTTTCACATGTTTGAAAATCCTGTTCTTGCTTGGTTAAGCAACATGTGATATGAAAACGGCTGTTTTATTGTCTGCGTGCACTTTTGTCTCGCGACAAGATGCTTTCTTCAATTCAACGATGTTAGTGTCATAATATGATTTAGTTATGTTGCCAAAATAGCGATTAGAATAAGTTCTGTTTATATATTTCTCTTCGTTTTGTTCTTACTGACTTACTCTCTTTAAATTGTACTACAAATAAACATAGAACATGTACAAACGAAGGATAACTTAGTTGTTCGTATACGTATTACATAAAGTTGAGCGTCAGTTCATTTGACATACGTATAAAAACCGTATTGGACTTGCAAAACAGTAATAGGTATAAATAAGTTGAATATGATAGGAATAAATAAGTTGTACGTGTAATGTTTTTATTCCATTTTTATGCTTTTTTGTCAGTATGCTGCACTTCTGTTTTTTTAACTCAAGATCATTTTAAGGTCATACAGTGTACCATCAAGTAACTTTTAGAAGATGTTTTCTAATATTTCAAATGAATTTATTTTCCAGTTTAATATAAATATAAAAATACAAATAGTAAGGCAAGACAAAAATATAACATAATATAATTAAATAAAGTTAAAGTGAAAATGGATGAAACATCCAAAATAACCATTGCATGATATGGATAATTACAATTATATCTAATCTCCTGCATATGATAAATTAAAAGGTACTATTTTTATTGTGCAAAAGTACATAATATTATACATTATATGGAAATAAAATTCTTTCATAATATTAGCGATTTTTACCTATTTCAAAATGTATGCAATTTACGAATTAACTGAAATAAATATTTTGATATTTATTGTATTAAAGACTTCAATTATATTATATGTACAATTACTGCACAAGGAATCATCTGACTAGTTTTTGTCTTATATTCCTTTAATAAAAGGCACATTATGGAAAACATTTTTTTCCTTAAAAACACATCTTTAAAATGTGGATAATAGTATTTTGACTTAAATAGAAACAAATAACTTTTAAGATGAGAAAAAGTACAAAATTAAATTGAAATTGTTTTTTTAGCCTATCCGACGGTTAGCATAACTTAATATTATTCATAAGATTAATGTTAGTATTTTTCTATCATCCAATGTTTTATTTTATTTTGTACATGCATACACAAAATTATTCAAATTGAGAACAAGGTATATCCATACTGTAAGTCTCCACTTGCTGTTCAATTTCTATGTACTCTTGAATTATAGGATCATTATGTTCATGCAATGTAATATGTTTCAAGATATCTTTCTTTCTTGTGAATGTTTGATCGCACTGTTCACAATGTAGCGATTTAGTCTGATGCGTTTTGGTGTGTTTCAGCATGTCATTCTTTTGTGTAAATGTCCTGCCACATGTATCACAGGAAAATGGTTTCTCTCCAGTATGAATTCTCTCATGAACGTTTAGTGCGCCCTTCCGGGTAAAACATTTGTTACAGTACGAACACTTATGAGGTTTAACACCGGAATGGATCTTCATGTGTTGACAGAGATTGCTTGAGCATTTGTACTTCATGTTACACACTTTGCAAACGTAAGGACGTTCCCCAGTGTGTATCCTTTCATGTATAAGGTGCGCTTCTTTGGAGACAAACGATTCTCCACAATATTGACACATGTGTGGTCTCTCTGTAGAATGTACAGAGCGTTTATGATAGCTTAACGTACTTCTACTCGACAATTTCTTTCCACAAATATTACATTCTATCATTAGTTTTTCTCTTCTGTGAGTTCGTTCATGGTTCAATAATACTGTTCGCGTAGAAAATACCCTGTTACAACTTTTACATTGCAACGCAGCTTTGTCAATACACTTTTTTTGTATACTGTCTATGATGTCCTGTTCTGTGTGCTTTTTCCTATGTAATTTTAATTCGCTCATTGAGTTACATCTGTACGCACAAACCTACGTGACGAATACGAAAAACGATTTATAATACATAAACATTTAGATAGCGATTCAGTCAGTGATAATATTAGTATACTTACACTACATGTATATACACCATTTCCATTATTATGACGTTTAAGATGTGCATTCATATTTCCTTTACGATTAAATGCCACTCCACATATTGGACAAATATGTTTATTTAAACCATGGGATAATGTATGCTGTCTCAATTGTATTCTTTTGTAAAAAGTTTTCCCACATTTATCGCAAGCATAAGGTTTATTTCCATTATGTTGATTCATGTGTTCAGCCAAATGAAATCTGAATTACAGACGCGACATAGAATGTAGATTCAATAACGTAAGATGAATAATTTAAAACAGAAATTTATTTTGAACGCCATTTATGAAACAATACTTATAATTTCTATAGTGCTACCTAGATCTGAATGCGTGTCCACAAATTTCGCAGATGTGTCGCTTTTTCTTTGAATCATCTAAATGAGTTCTTTTATGACCTCTTAAATTGTTAGAATGTTTAAAACTTTTGCCACATAAATCACACAGATAAGGTTTATCTATTCTATGAGTAGCTTCATGTACATCTAAACTAGACCATTTTTCGTAACTCTTGTCACACATAGTACACTTCAACAACAATTGACCCTTATGACATTCTGCAATGTGATTCGATAGTTCCTTTTTAGTACCATAAACTGTATCACAGTGACCACACTTCTTATTAATTTCCGATACTGCAAGATCATTGATATTGTGCAACTCTTTAATAGTTCTGCACTGTTCTTCATTTGTATGTGATTTAATAGAAAGTTTATACGATTCTTGATCAAAAAGTGTACAATATGAAAGCTTATGTTCATCTAAATTTCGTTCATTTTCAAAATTCTTGTGATGAGTGTTAGAATCTCTACTATATTGTACATCCACTATTTCCATGTTATTGGAATCCCTTCTGTTTATATTATTATTAACTATTTCTCGTTTTTGTGCTGTAATTTCTTTGTTATAACATAATATTTTATGATTTTCAAATACTTCTTGACTTTCAAAAGAATTTCTACAGTAAAAACATGAAATTTTATTGAAAACGGTTTCACCATTCTCCTGGTAATGTTGTGTATTTTGATTTTCAGATTCATCTTCTTTGTTCGTTTTACTAGATGTGCAGATAAAATTATTTAATTCGGATTGCATCTCACTTTCTATGTTGTTCACAGTATCAATCTGTTCTAAGTGATTTAATTTTCTAGTGATTCCTTGATTCATAGAAGTATCCTCTATGCTATTAGGAGGCAACTCTACCAATGTAATTTGATTATCCTTTTGAGTGATATGTAATTCTTCATTAATCTCTATAGAACATTTCTTAACTATTTCATCATACCTTCTATCATAATTTGTCTGTAACAAACCATGTAAATATATTTTTAACATGCTAAGTTTGCTAATTACTACATACATAAAATATATCTAATATATCACAAAATAATATCAATGGAAATTAAAATTGTATCTATGTATAACTTACGTTATTAATATTTAGAAATTTTTTCAATTTCATATCTGTTTTCAAAGAACTTATAGCAAGCGAATGTACTACTTCCAATTTATCACAGCAATTCATGCATAATTTTTGAGGCATTAAATCATCCATATCTACTGTTATTGGAAGATGTAAGTTTATTTTCTCTTTCAACTTTAGTTCGATCCCCTTTCCTGCAAATATTTCTATGCCATTCTCACATGATTCTCCACATATCCTGCATACATTTGATAATCTAATACCAATATCATGATACTGATCTACTTCGATGTTCATATCACAGTAAGATAATACAACGCTGTCTGTTACTTCTATTTGTTCATTTTCATCAAAAACATCTTTCAAACTTTTCTCCTTTGTATCTGTTTCAAATAATGTCGGAATTGCATGCTGATCTATTACAACTGGGTCTAACTTGCTTATGAAATAATGGTCTTCTATGTGATGAGAACATATATAATAATTCAAATGCAGTTCTTCGTTAGATTTCATCAAAAGGTCTGTCCTACCGCACTGTTGTGCCCATACTTTTGAGCTGTAACGAAACAATCACATTATATAATACGTTAAAAAAATGGAAACATTAAATGATAAACTTCAGAAAAGTATTACCAATTTTACATATGCATAAAAAGAAGATTTCTGAACAGTATTTAATTGATATTTTTAAAAAAACTTACCTATCATCATTTGGAAAATTAATAAACATGATGTGCCCTGATTCTTCATTACCTGATGAGTATTTACAATTCTTTACGGCACAAATTATCGTCATTTTGTGTGCAATCATTTCATTGTATAAAATAAGAGTAATATTCAACCATCAACTTTTACATTAATTTCACCTGTTTCATACTTCAAAAGCGCTATTATAGACGAGATATGTACAGAACGTATTCATCATTCGTGTTTTTCTGTCCTCAGATCATTGTCATGTCGCTTCCAACATTACCAATAGATTAGAGAAAGCGATCTAAGCGCTCTCTATAGTTCAAATTAAAAATAACGAAGGATAAGACTATAGTAGCATTGATAAAAGATAATTATAGTCACTGACAGTAGCTGCAAGATATCCTTATACATCTCAGAGGAATGTCCCATTATATTTGTGTCGCTACCATTCCAATAAGACTGGATTTAATAACAATCTAGTGGTTGAAATTATATTTAAACGTACTGACAGACATTAGTGACGTAAAAATAAGGACTGTAATTTTCATTTTATTTCCAAAAGATATAACATCCTAGTATGAATCGGAAGTCAATATTATTATGTAATATTATTATTGCATGTGTAATTTATTTATGACGTTGAAGATTTGCTTTTATTTCCATTTCACTAGAATAATTTCTGTCGTTTTTCCTAACGTACTTTTCATAATCGCCGTTCTAAAAGATGCAACTAACTAATCATAGAGTGCGCAATAAGACAATTATAGAAAGTAAAGCAATGTCGGTATTTCAGGTCGTGTGACACCATCAGCATGTCAGTATATTTCTGCTTATGGTTGCATTAATACTGAACAATATATTTATTTACAATTTTTGTTCTTAAAATAAACAGAAATACATATTTGAATTAATACCTAATTAGAATAAGTATTGGATAATTTTGTACCTAAATTAAATTTGACACACAAAAATTTTCTTGGTACTTAGAACTGTTATTTTAAGCAGGTGTTAGTTCTTAACTATATAAAGTTATCATATAATTAAATATGAACGAACATTGTTTTGCACAATATATTTATTATACAAAAACATTTGTATAAAAAATCGTTAACAAAGAACTACCCTTAATAATTTGGACACAAGAAACATTGCAAATATAAAGAAACAAGTGCAGACAGTATAGTGTAGTATCATGAACGACCGAAATGTTTTCCTGGCTTCAGGAATCGAGTCCGTTGTGTCTTTCATTAAATATGTTTTGACACCAAAACAAAAGTCACACATAAATTTATCCCAATCGAGTCTCTCCAAATCGAAAGGAAATTCTTCATAGTCAGCTTTATTCATGTGAACGAGGATATTTTGAGTGTTTTCTACTTCGACAGTCCAAACGTTATATAAAAAAAAGTAAAGCGAGCTGTTGAAGCGTGCTACCCTCATCATTAGCCGTAGGCCTCTGTAAAAATAAATATGGATTATCAGATTTTAAAGAATTAAAAGTATAAAATATTTGAAACCGATATTTAATGATAGGAAGCTTAACCCTTTATTTTATTCGTTACGTTTATATTCCCTATTAAAATTTAAATGATTAAAATTCTTGGACTTAAAATATATAGATAAAATAAATGTAAATATTAAAATTCTAAATCGATTAAAAAAATATAACTTCTATACATTCAATTCTATAAATTAATATAATTAATGAAATTAATGAAACTAGTAATATAAATATCAATCTTACATAATTAATAAAATTTTCTGATATTATAATTAAAAATAATCCATTAAACAATGAACAAATATTTATGTACTAAAAAATGTATTAAAATTAAACGTAAATAATAGTTGAAATTAAAACTACAATAATAATAAAAATAAATATAAAAAAAATAAAATAAAATGAAAATATTGATTTTGATAAAATTAAATGATGTTTTAATTACTCACTGTGTTTTCTTTCCTGTAATCCAACGACCGACATCATACACTGCTGCAGGAAGAATGCTGAATAACACGTTAATTAGGACGAAGAGATAATAATGCTTCGTGGTTATCAGAAATGGATACCAGAACATATTGCATACTGGATATTTTTCTATTCTCCTTGGATTCAACATACCATAAATTTTGTCGAAAAAAGGTTTCCAATGAGATGAACCATAGTTGTACACTTGTGGTCCGTCCGATTTCCTAAACAAATCGGTGGATTAAAAATCAACGGTGTTTACGCACGAAAATGCATACATTGTCTAAATAAAATGTTATAGTTTCTATGATATATCAAAAATAATGCTTGTATATGTGATAATCGCATTGTAATGAAACTAATAACGACATCATAGCATGATCAATCGGGACGATATAATGAAAGTTCTCAAGTTTATCAATAAATTTTCGTTACTTGCGTTTACTCAAGTCCCAAATGCATGCCAGCAGAGCGTTAACCGTCATGTCAATCGGAACGAAGTCAATGATAGAGTCGGATCTTGTAGGCAGAGAGTGCACTAGACTCATGGCATATACAAGTGTCAGCCCGGAAACTCCAGTTGTACTCGTTATCAACCCTGGTGATGGTTCTTTGGCCGTTGACATAACTATTACAAAATTAAATAAATTAAGTGTATTATTTCTTGGTCAACATTTAGCAATATATGTATAGAATATATTAATAATGTTTGTCCGTAATAAACTAGAATTATTGTTAATTATATCTTACAAGTCGAAATATGTAATTTTTGTACTTCTCTCAATATTCTTTTCATATTTTACTATAAAAGATAGCATAACTTACTTATCGCAGGCCTATAGATAGCGCAAGGGATCGTGCTTCTTCGTGCGAACTACTCAACGAAGCCTTCGGCCATGGCTTTGGAGAAGGTATACCCTAATATTTTGCGCAATGTATGTTTGTAGAACCCGTTTGGAATTGCTTCGTCGGCTTTTATCAAATCCTCGACCATGCGTATATCACCAGGGGGTGTATAACATTTTTCCTCAATTCGTTCGTTGTGAGACTAACTATACACGGACGAAACGTACACAAACGCATAAATATTAGTGCACTTTTCCGCTAAATCGAGCATATATTTGGTGCTTAACGAGTTTGTCTTCAAGATGGAAGATAATCTTGTAAAAAATGATGTGTCTGCTGCATTGTGAATAATTATATTGACATTCTCCGTCAGGAGTTTGTAGTCTTCCGGTGAAAGACCCAAGTTAGCATTTTGTAGATCACCGTGCATTGTGTGAATCTTTGACTTGAAATTGGGATTTTCCTTCTGCAGTACGTCGAAAACCTGCAAGCAACGCAAACGCCCGTTGAAAAAATGGGTGCCAATGGAAAACAAGAGACTGTAAAGGGATGACACATGAAAAAGTTTGGTAGTTTTATACTTTTCTGCTAATAAGCAGATGAGACACGGAGTACAGAATGTGCTCAGTAGGTTAAAGACAACTAATTGTTCCAAAGAAATTTACTCATATGAAATTCAAATAAGCAATACTGTTTAATATTTATGTCTCATACTTTCAAATATTATATACATGTTGCATTACACGCACACATTTCTTCTATGCTTTATGTAATATAATATTCTTTTTAGTTTCTTGTTCAAATTTGAATAATTTACCTATACATACGAAAGAACATTCGAAAGGACAATTCAAACATTATTTAATCATATTTATGTCCGAATTGCCTTCAATCCTCCCGTACTCCAAATACGAATATAAAAAGTCTTAATGACACGATTTTCTATGGAAATTCGGGTGTTTCTTTATCTGAGGGACGTGACATTGAACATGTTCAAACGAATTATCGTTCAAGATAAAGGAATTTCAAGCACTTATAGGACTTTGGAAATATTTTTCCATTCGCTCCTCGACTGTCATTTTTCCCCTAGTCCTGATTATCAAGTAAATCTTGCCGATTTCCAAACAAGTGCGTAAAAGCTTTTCCAGAATCGCTGCTCCTAAGAAACCAGTGCTCCCAGTGAGTAGAATCCTCTTTCCAGCATAGAACTGTCGTATCTGACTTCCATTGTTCCAGTCCATGTTTCCTCCAATTTTGCCAGTTCTCTCTAAATGCAACATCTCGCTTACGTTGTCCATCATATAGCTCATTTGCTTATTTTACAATTGCTTCGTAAGTCACTTGAATATAATTTTCAAACGCTATCCAGTCTGACTGTTTCGAAGTTAGTTAGTTTAGAAGTTTAGAAGTCAATATTTCTGTAGAATTTTTCTTGTGTTACAAGAACACTATCTTTTGTCCTGATGGCGGCCGTTGCTTTAAACTTGCGCGGGTCACTTGTCATATTATATAAACTTGATATGACGTTATAGACCTTTTTTCCTCTTTTGGTTTTTCTAACCAGAACAATGTACCATATTCAAATATTACAAATGGATTGTATCTGTACCATGCACGCACTTTAAAAATGTTTGTGCTTATTTATCCCGCGCAGTGACACAGGGTTGCATTAAAAAAACATGTTATGAATGAAGTATTACGCTTGTAGAAATGAAAGTAGTGTGTTATTAAAGGGTTAACGTATTTTGGGTTAATTTAAGGGTTAATTTTTATCTTTAAAGAAATATAGTAAAAAGAAATCGTGGTACTCTCGATCAAGTGATGCTTCTTGTATATAAGAGGAAGTAGAAAAATCATATTTTTTCGTATTCTTTTGTTTTCGACAAAACTGTAAAAGTTCCTGAGAATATTGGAAGTAAATTATAACTGTCTACATGAGACCCTGCCTTTTTATCGTATTACTTACTTTATGGTACCAGCGAAATAGTTTTTTAACTGATGAACCGTAAAACAGCTATGTAAACGAATGTATTGTTATCTTGATAGAATTAAATTGATATTAACATCATACAGTAAAAAAATATCGAGCAAACAATAATGTATTATTTTCATTTGTATTGTGTTCGTTGTTGACACCTTATTCCACTTCAATTACAGAATATGCAAAAGTATTCTGTATGAAAAATTCATGTGTTTGTTCTTTTCCTATTTTAAGCTAAAGATTTTAGAGGTACGATCATATATTACTTCTTTAATGATCATTTTATGCTGATATATTATTGCAAAATTTAATGCATATATGCACAAAAGTGCAATAATATGTCAATCATTTAAAAATAGTAATCTCGAATGGTGGAATGGTAGAATAGAAATCTTTCGCACGTTATTTGCACGTCTGCGAATAATTTCCAATAGTCATCACATAACAGTTTTGATTGAAAGAAAGTTAATGGTTCTGTATTTTACATTACAGAGGTTAAGGTAAAAAATGCAAATGGTAAAAATTTTCGTCTGAACGCCATAAATTCTTCTCGAGCATTATTTTTATTCGTATATTAGTTCATTTCTAACCACATCGAATGTGAACGATCTCCATAAGTTTTTCTCCTTACTTTCCTTCAGTCCTTCCATTACTTTTATTTTCGTGAAACATCTGCTGATTCTTTCTTTTCTTAAACGTCACTATACTTTTACCGTCACATCAGTACATGAAAAGACACGAAGTCATCCTACCGACAATATAAAATAAATGCACTGCCCATCTCTTCATATTTTCATTATTGAAACAGTAATCAGTCGATCAAGTACTGATGAAACTTAATTTAGCTTGAACTTGAATTACTTCATTTACTATTATTGTAAAATCAAATTAATTATATTATATTATATTATATCAATTATATTATATTAAGTAATTATATTGTATCTTATTTTAGCCGTAATTGATAAAGTGTCACAATTTGTTCCAACGATTACCGAGTCCGAAAAAACTGTTTTGCTTAACAAAATGAAATTACCATTCGCTAATTTATCTTCTGCCAATTCTCTACACCCACCTTTTTTAGTTCAGCAAAAACGTTCATTCTGGTCTTTAAAACGTATAATTCATATGTACACAATCGATTAGATTGCTATTAGATTATTAAGCGGCTTATCATGTATGATAGAACGACCTGAACTAATATGCTCAATGTCAACAAAATTGCATGATCACGAATCTCAAAATGGCAGAGAATTTTAGCACAAGAAGCGAAAAGACCTGCTTACAAAATGAATTTCTCTAATTTCGAATATTTTGATTCAAAACGAAATCGGGAAAATGGCTGCATATCGAATTCGTCGACAGCCGTCGATTGCTGCTTTTGCGGCAAAGATGGCGGAAATTTTTGGTTGCAAACAGAAAAAGGGCCGAAGTGGGATTAATGGAGGTACCACCTCTTCCGTAGACAAAATCAAGCGGTAGGGGATAACGTTATAGCGTTCATCTAAAAGGCTTGCACGATTTCAAACGAGAACACATTCACATGGTGATCGAAAGTGTTTTAACAGTGAATTGTCAGAAGAAAGAAAATTTCATTGACAGAAAGTTTCGAATATCTTCGGAGGTTCTCTGCAACAAAAATAAGTATTAACATGTGCACGATATGTCAATTGTTTATTTTTTCATTGATCTCGATGCACGGATTCTGTTTGCATGATGTCACCCCGTTGATCGATTGTCTATCGGCATGCTCGAAAGTAAGTGAAAAATCGTTTTTTTTTTGAGATTATGTTGTAACATGGTGTCAAAGTTAGCACGTAAACAGCGGACTTATTTTTAAGCGAAACGTGAATTCATATGGACAATTTGTTGCAAGAACAGTACATTTTGATTGCTTTTGAGTAATAGTGAATAACAGAGAAAGGAGGTAGACAGACAAGAAGGGAGGTAAATATTGTAATTGTACAAAAGGGAGTTGTGTCATTGTATTTATTATTAATTTTAAATATTAATGGAAGCTTTCGTTTTTATTACGTATTTGTTTCTTGACGAAAAAGGGTGTTATAGTGAGATGAAAGATCTTCCATTTTTGGGAATTTGGAAATTAGATTTGAGAATTTAGAGATTCGAGTGCTGGAAGAATTGAGAGATTTGGGAATTTTATTCATTGGAAAATTTTGAGATTTGGGAATTTGCAGAGTTGGAAAATATGAGAATTGGAAACTTGACATTTTCCAAAAACTTGGAAACGTGGATTTGGAAGTTCTGAGATTCAGGAGTTTGAGAATCTGGAAAATTTAAAGATTAAGAAATTTGGAAATTTAGGAATTCACAGATTAGAAAATGAAAATATTTAGAAACTTGGAGGTTAGAAAATTTAGGAATTCTGAGATTTAGGAGTTTGAAGATTCAAAGACTTGAAAAGTTAGAAATTTAGGAATTTAGAGATTAGGAAATTTGAAGGATTAGAAAATTTAGAAATTTAGGAATTTGGAGATCAGAAAATTTCAAACTTTAGAATCTTGGAGGTTACAAAATTTAGGAATTCTGAGATTCAGGAGTTTGAAGATTCAGAAACTTGAAAAGTTAGAAATTTAGGAATTTAGAGATTAGGAAATTTGGAAGATTAGAAAATTTGAAAATTTAGGAATTTAGATATTAGAAAGTTTGGAAATTTAGAAACTTGAAGGTTAAAAAATTTGAAAAATTAATATACTTAGAAGTTAAGAAACTTGGAAATTCAGGAACTGTATATTTAAAAATTTAGAAATGAAATTGCGAATTTGCAAATGTAGAAATCGTGTATTCCAAAATTTGCGTCACTGTAAATGTTCAAATTTAGAAATTTACCTATTTTCACAATTTCAAATTTAGAAATTGAGGAATTCTGAAGTATTTAATTCGCAAATTTTCAAACATAAAAATCGTCAGTTATCGATAACAGCAAACTGTGACCACCATTTGAAAAGCGCTTCCATTTATACATATAGCCCATCATATTATATTGCCAACACAGAAGCATAGTGAGACAATATTTTCAACGACAATTTTGATTATCACAAATATTTAGTTACACTATTTCCATAATACAATTTCACAATGAAAAATCTGATAGACAATTTGACGAAATTCTGACAATTTGACAAATCTGACAACAATTTTATGAGTCAAATATCTAATTTCTTAATTAGACTTGACGTTGAAAATAAAGTCTTACGAATAATAAATTCTACTTTATATTTTGAAATTATTTTTATATGGACAATCATCACTTCTTTGAACTAAAAAATAGAATATATTTTATATAATAATATCTATAATATCTATAAATAATGTAACATTCAGAGTAGAATAAAAAGTAATAGCCAACAAATAAAAGATTAGACTAATAACAACTAATTGGAATAATGAACAAGTCAAATAATAAATAAACAATTAAACATCTATTTATTACTTCTGTCCAAACACAATTTGATTCGAATAATTCCTACCGTTGCTCAACCACGCTTTTCGTGATAAAATAACATTCTGCGATTAGGTTTATATTTATATTTCTTTTATACATATATAATTTTGATAAATTTAATGAATAATGTCCTCAATTAGAGCATTCGTCTCATTGACATTCAATTTATCGCATAAAAAGCGATACTCAATTCCTTCAGAAATGCATACAGAATCAAAATGAGTTTCAAAGGAAATTTGAGAATTTTAACATTTAGAGATTTAAAGACATCCCTTCAATAAATTGTCCATTAACATTCAGAATAAATAATAATAATAAATCATGCAAAAGCAATATTTTATATAATTAAAAATCTGCAAGTTTAAATACCCTCTGAAACTTTTATGAAGAATAATTCGCGTTAGACTTTCGACAAAAATATAAATATTATTTTCACTAAAGTCATTTAGTAAAATATTTACTATCAAATATTACATAAAATGTTATAACAAAATATTTCGCATGATCTGATTTTGCTGAGGCATCGTTGTTTCGTATTGTGCATCCTCCTATGCGTTATTTTAAGGTGATTCATTTTCTCGTACTCCGAGAAGCTGAAGGTCAGTACTGATTTCGGAATATATTGTAAATTCTATCAACAGACGACACTCATACATGAATTCATCGCCTCTTCCGTTGACGATCGATGTCTACAAGGTGCCCTCAAAACGTTTTATTGAATCGACGTGCTCGGACGTAAACGTATCTATTTTATACCTAATGAAGACATTTATTTTGAACTCTAATAAAGTCAATAGAATTTTTTATACTACGACAGGATTGAAATTTTTGTTCGTCGAGGATCTTAACTTCAAGAATTTTATTCAACGTTATTTTAAATTCCTTTCAAATCTTAGAATCTGATAAACAAGTATTTGAGCAGTAATAAGGAATAAGTAATAATAAGAGCAATTTTACATTCAATATTTCTGAAGTTCATCCGAAGAATTGACCTTAGTGTAACCAATACTTCAAGATATGTCAGCCATGACAAAATTAAAATGTAGGTCTTCCAGTATGAATGATTCACCGAATGTGTTCCGCGCAAATATTGAATAATTTGATTACCTTGTACGTAACTTCTGGCGTCATAATTTCGTAAATTACGGTAATTTCATTGTAAATAACTTAACAAGAGTTGGTAGAGGAAAAAAGGTAATTACTTCTCGAAAATTTTTGTCAAAATGTTAAATATTCAGTACAGATGAAATTATTTGGACTGCATGTTGGTTAGACATGCTACTCAAAATTATTTTATATTTTCATATAATTATTTCTAAGAAAGTCTGGGAGTCTAGGAAGTCTGAAATTCTTGTAAGACTTCCTTCAAGCTTCTTTTGAACACCTTCCTCCTGAACATTCTAATCTATAAGCTTATATTTAAGTGGTTATGTTACTCCACCTGCTAAATTAAACTATTATACACCTACTACAAATAAATACTAAATACATAGTTACAGTATAAATACAATATAAATACTTCTTTGTTCCAAAAATAATTCGCGAAAGATTATCATATGACTAACAATGTGATTAAGAATCAAAGATGAGAAGAGAACGGTTATTCGCAAATATTGCCTTATCTATCACTTATATCAGAAAAACAGTTATTATCAACTTTCTAGCTTAGGCAATTATCTGCAAACGAGCTTATATCAATTTTTTCATAGGAACAACCGTTTTCGTGTACAATGGCTTACAAAGTCTCAATCGCCAGATATTGTCAGTTAGATGTACAGATTGGAAACTTGTCGGCCGTCCTACACGAAAACGGTCGCTCCTACGAAAAAGTTGATATAACCTTTTTTGCAGATAATTGCCTAAGCTATAAACTTCGTTATAACTGTTTTTGTCGTAGACATGACAGATAACAAGATATTTAAGAATAACGTTTATTTCTCGACCTTTGACCGTATAAAAAATGTTATTATGACGGAAAGTTTAGATATATTGTTTAAACTCACGAAATGAATATTAAGAAATTTGAAATATTTAATAATCGTGAAAAGTCTCTGATCGATAATATATTTTGTAGGAATCATGCGAGGACGCTTGCAATAAATATATGTACAGAACAGATCGTAAGTATTCAAATTTTGCATTAAAAAATTGAACGAAATATTCAAAGTACTTCGATTCGATTTCGATGTATCGTGAATGGAAGACAATAGAATTCGATGCGATCGAACAGTCTGAGTTTATACCATTGATAAGAAACAAAGCGAAATTCGTAACATGATTTAACATAAAAAATTTGTTAATCAATTGTCCTCGGTTTGATTTGTATCGTACGCTTCATTTCTTATTCTACCGTTTCGAACACATCTCGATTACGAAGTTTGAAGATCTTTCGAGAGAATACTTTGAGCGATACTCGAAGGTAAAATTGAAATACATTGAATATCGAAAGATATTTAAAAATAGTAGTTGAAAAATAAAGAATCTGTCAAATTATGATTTTTGAAGAAAGCGAAATATATTTTTCCTTTGAAGAGGAATTTTTTAAGACTCGAAGTTACTGTTGATCAAAATTTTTATTCACATTTAGATGCAATAATAACAGTAATTTCAGAAGTACGATGGTTTTGTCAAAATGTTAGAACAAAGAGGATAGTAGGAGAATGATCAGAAAGCTTTTATCTCATGTTCTTTTCTGCAGAAGATCCGTGTCGACGAAAATATTTTAGTTAAGTATTTTCTAGACACGTCTCTTGCTATTCTGACGTATTTCGTATAAAAAGGAATTTTTTCGCTCAGTTTATCCGCAGGTCAAGGAATGTACCGATGCGAACGTGACTCTTCATTGTACCGGTGGTAATCTGATGACTATCAAATTCAATCCTGGTTTATACTTTATCGAGCAAGTCCCGTACAATTACACTTGGAATTCCACAAAATTGGTAAAAGGATATTTGATCAACTCTGTTGTAAATATACGGTTGCCTTGGAAAATCAATTAACACTTTCATTTTTATCCGATAAGTATTTAAACATAACCTCGATAAAGGGTAGTCATAGTTCGATCAAATAGAGACATTGTTTAAAAAATTATCTAATTATGTACATTATTACATGAATAACAATTTTTTGAATTTTGATATTCTGAATTTTTGGAATTTGGGAATGTGCAATTTAGGAACTTGGATATTTTGGAAAGGGTCTGATCGAATAAGATAAAAATGAGCCAAGAAACACACCAAGTTTCAACCCCATATCAGTGGAGTACTATTTTTGCTATTTAATTTTGTACAAAAATTCTGAAAAAATTCTGAAACACTCAGGTTCACATAGTGCATATTGTAGAATTTTTTCAGATTTTTAGATCGCAAACTATGTATAGTTGTAAAAAATGAACAACCGAAAAAGAACCTGATAGTAATATAATAGTATGTAAACAGCGTATAATATTATTTCTTTTTATCCTGTGGATGCAGCAATGTATATCAATTATTCAAAAACACGTGGAATCTATAATACAATTATTACAATAATGGAAAACAAAATGGAAAACAGAATATGAAAAGACAAAGTCCAATGGATCTGCGCTCAAAGCACATGTGACGATTACGAGGCAAAACTAACCTCTTCGCTAATGACGCCACAGTTTCATGTTCCAGAATTAAACATGACATAAAATTAAGTAAAAAATGAATTTTATTTCTTTAGTTAGTATATCATTTGTATCAATTATGAATTTAAATTTATTTAACAAATAAGAAGTGCAAATTCGAAGCGTAAAGGAGTGTATTTTAATTTTTTTTTAACTATGGCGCACCTCGCCGTCAAATCTGAAAAAATTAAGGAAATTTCCTAAGGAATTAGGAAAGAAATTTGGGGAAATTAACCAGGCTGATATGTTACTATTACAATAATACAAAAACAGTGCTTCGACATTTTTAATACAAAATCATTTTTTTTTTGTAATAAAAAAAGTGGACCTCGGAATTTAGAAAAAATTGAAAATGATTTGAAAATTCTCGTTGATTGACTTTCTGAGACGACCGTGTCCCAATTAAAAATGACCCATTATTAAGGCTCTCATTTACAGGGTCTCAAAGTTTTATGACAATATTAATATTTCAAAATGCTGCATTGCCAACTAATTCGTTCTATTTTAAAATACGGAAGTATAATCTGGTGTCCGTCCTATAATTTTCATATTAACGACATCAAATGTGTTCAGCAAAAATTTTTAATCGCTACCAAGTTGTGTAGTTTAATTCTCACGACTTTTATACGTGATATACTTCTAAACAGTACATAATAGAAGAAAAATGCTCAACGTTGTATTCTTTTGTTAAATACCGAGAGGTATGATATCTCGCCAGATGATTTTTCTCTCTGAATATACATTCAATTTACCTAAGAAACAACACTTTAATTTATTCGGAACATTGCATCACAGTTAATTTTAATATTGATGTATTCAACTCTACAACATTAAAATTCTTAATTACGTTATATTTTTGTTGTATACTTTAAATATTTATGTCACATTTTTTGTTGGTTTTTCAGACCATTTATTTGCTCCGAGTGAGACGTGTTGAATTTCCGAAATCACGTTGACCATGTCATTAAGATCACCTGCCAGTAACATTAATAATTTAGTAAAATGTTAAATCACCTGCGAAATATGTTAAAATAACTTGGAAAGATTATTTATATGGTAATTCTTTTCAAGTTTAAACGAGTTTCTTTAAAAGAAACGTCCTTGAGTGCTATGAAACCAGTCAAAAAGACTGGTTTCAGATTTCTTATTTTATATTACATTGTCCTGATTTTATGGAAATGTCTGTCATATTTTATTGAGGTAAAAACTAGTTCTATGTATATGTTACTTGATGCTTTAGTATTTATTTATTTCATTTTATTTTTCATTCTTCGATAATCGAGTATTTAATGCCGGTAGTTCTAGTCTTAACCCTTTGCACTCCTATATCGAGTGACATCACACTTCTCTTGGATTTTATAGATTGGTAGAATATATTTACTATTTATAATAAATGAAATAAATGAAATGTATGTGACAAATGTCACATACTGTTGCAATTTTATTGAGAACCCTTTTTGGTTTATTTTGTAAATGAAGAAGTCTAAGGAATGCAAAGGTAGAATTAATGAAGATTGCTAAAAATTAACCTAAATGTCAGGTGACCTTGATAACATACGTCAAAATCATCGTATGCTTTTCGAAAGTTCATCCAAATCTTCCTTAAATGAAATAAATTTTAAAGAAAAAAAAATGACCCGTTATTTTATCTCTTTTAGTAGAAAATTTTGAGTTCACTGTATGAGCGTAAAATATGTGTGATTCGTTTCCTCCTTCAAAAATTTACAGTTCAAGAAAGCTAATATAATAGATATTTGTTAATATAGATATTTTGCAGTTATTAACCAGGGATCTTCAAGAATTAAGGCGTATCGCAAAAAGCGCGATAACTCCTGGACAAAGATGCGTGCACCTTCCGCGTGTAACAGATTTACATTTTTCAGGTGAAAGGGGAGACAGCATTGTTTGAAAATTTGACAGTAAACACCAATTATCAATATCGAGTGTATAATTTGACGTCCGCAGGAATATCGCGACCGGAAATATCGGACTGGTTCTCAACTTATCCAGGTAAGTACTTGATTGATACTCGTTTTATTTGAATACCACGATTCAAGTTTCGTTAACCCCAAAAATATAACAGAATCTTATAACAAAATATAATACCAAAAATATTTTACATGAGATAAAAAGTGTTCTTTAATTGCTACTTTTTGTAATTTTACAATTTGTTAAAGTTTTCTTGAAATCTGCATTGTTTTCGACAAGATAAAGAACTAATGTGTGTTCTAATTTACATTTTTATTATATTATACGAGTATGGGTAGGTTTAGTGTTAATAAGTTTTAATCTTCACTAATTTTAATCTGAAATATTACTGAATTGATATCCTATTTTAACAGACTTTCTTGTATTTACTTTATATTTGTAAATTACAAATTAATTAATAAAAATAATATTTCAAATTTTTCTTAGAAGCATTTTTCGATAACGTTCTAATTTACCAACCTTCAAATTAGTTAATCTACAATGAATTAAAGCGTAAATGATCGTTTAAATTGATTTCAGCCAACTATGAGCCAATGCCAGTGAATAACGTATCGGTGAAAATAGAAGCTGACAGGCAAAAGATAGGCAAACTGCACACCAAAGTTGCTTTTGAACCGGCTATGGGTATATCTATCTCAGTATAACAGAAATAACAACAGGAACTTTTGTCATGCTTTAGTTTTTCACATGGTAGACCACGAAATAACAAATCGTATAGGATCAAAGATAATTTCTAATAGCGACATATAGTGTCGGAAATTCACTAATTCCTAAATTCTCAAATTTCGAGACTTATTTATTTCCACAGTTTTGAATTTATAAATTTTCAAATTTCTAAAGCTACACACTTCTAAATTTTCATAGTTCTGTGCCTATTTAATTTTCAAATTTTCACATTCCCGAATTTTCAAATTTGTCAAATTCTTAAATTACAGAATTATCAAATTCCTAAACTTAGAATAGTTTGAGAATTTAGAAACTTCAAAGTATTCTAAATATTCTGATTCCCAAATCCTCAATTTCTTGAATACAAAAATCACTAAATTTCTAAATTCCCCAATTTCTAAATTCCCAAATTTCTAAATTCCCAAATTTCAAAATGACTAAATCTCTAAATCTCTAAATCCCCAAATTTCCAAATTAATTAATCCCCATCCTCTGAATCCCACATTCCTAAACTCTCAATTCTCAAAATTTGATTAATTCTTCTATATAAAATTTACCAGACTAATTTCTAAACCTTCCAAAATTCTTAAATACTCTACCAAGCAAGAATGAACACGTGTTACACTTTTTCTCCACGCCGCCATTTTTCCCCCAAAAATTGCGTTCAGTTCTCTTCATAAAGCTCCAAATTATACACAAAAAATAGTACGAATTAATTATAACAGTAAGTAAACGAAATCAAAAGCTTCACTTACTATCATAATTAAATAAAATATCCAATTTAATCGAAACAGGTAAACTAAATGTCGAATGTGCACTGGCGCCAAACAAGGTTACAAATCTTCCGTTTATACAGTAGCTAGTTATGCATTATAATTAACACGGTTTTAATCATTTTTAGATCGAAGTTGCAATTACGAAGTACGAATTTGGGATGGAGAACACTATTTCCACCGTTTTATCATTGATACGGTAGTATTCTTTTTTACTATTACAATATACACGTAAAATTGACACCTCTAATAACTCCAAAGTTACACATATTACGAAAAACAAAATTAAATACAATACTTGCGCGGTTTCAAGGGAATTAAATGATGACGTATTAACTTTTTTTGGTATTCATTTAGGTTTTCAAGTTATGAAGACACTGAACAATCAATCAATTAATGTTGACTATATTTGGAATTTAATAAATAAAAAAAATATCGATGCCACGTGTCGAAGACTTTTTTCTCATACGCCATTTAAAAGCTTATACGCCATTTTCTAACATTGAAACCGTACATTTGACAATTTTTCATGACACGATTTCACGAATTATCTGCGACAATTTAACTTATACTTAACAGATTTAACTCATGCCTGACGCGTATGTCACCTTTATAGTAAAGTGTGTTTGTGGTTGCCGTATGTTGTGATTGTAACCGAAATAAAAGTGTGGATGGATCGAAAAAGGGAGTTTAGAGGGCACGATAATTGTCTACGTCAACATCTCTAACAAAATTGAGTTTTTCGTTTCACAGATATCGAATTTTCGGATTAAATTGGAAATGGATAAAAGTACCAATTTAACTATTAAATCGGTTAACAAAGAAAACGGTAAAGCAAGCCCTGAGTTCTCGATGACGTTGTGTACCCTTTCGTGCGCAGAATATTATAACTATAATTTAAGCGTGTGCCGTGAGTATTCAGTGGTCATCGATCGATTTGCTATTATCAGAATTATTTCTAATTATCGAAGACTAGCAATTGTATACTCGAGCCAGTAGAGTCCAGCATAAAGCAAAAAGTAACAAGTACTATCATATAATATACAATAACAACAGGTATATAGCGAATTACAGTAATAATATTAATAGGTCATAATAACAGTAGTAAATACTAATAATTACATATGTAATTACGTTACAATTGATTAAGTAGAAAGAATAGAAAAATGAAATCATTTAGGTTGGTCTAGCTCAAATACAAAGATTGCTTGAAAATAATAAATTATAGATGTGTATCTACTTCAGCCCCAGATTCAGTGGAGGGGTTAGAAGTTCAACATGTCTACCATTACCCCGACATGTACGATATGTGGATTCGTTGGAACGAGACTGCGTTTAAACCGGATAATTACTCGATTGAGATCGATCTCAACCGAAACGGCAGTGATCCTTTGGTCAAAACTGTACCGGGTGTAAGTAAAATTTATTCTTGTGTGTTTAAACTGAAATGTCCTTATTTTTATTATTTATGATTCTACGAAAGGTTTACGAAATTTTATTTATCATTCTTTGGTACAGATTTTCAATTATTTTGCAGAATACAACCGAGATTTTTTTGGAAAATTTGACATTAAATAACGAATACACGGTGATCATTGTCGCTGAGTCTTTGGGCGGAGAAAGTGCACCGGTGAATATTGTTCGAACTGTGGAGCCTCGACACGCACGTACGTTTTTTTAATACAATTATTTATTTTTAAATACAGTAATAACGTTGATTACGTTGTAACAAGGATCTCTGATTGCAACAAAAGTATGATAATTACAAGAAAGTAATTGGTAATTTCAAGAATATTGTAAACCTTTTTCCTTTAATAGCCGTGAAAAAATTCTATCGCGAACTTGTTATCGGGATAATGATACCAATTACATTCTTCGCCATTATTGGGATAACGTTCTTTCAATATTATCAACAGAAGATTAAAAATAAGAAATTGTCGGCGGAGTTGTCTATCGAGGTAAGACATTGAATTATTTATATTTACTCTTATTTTTAAGTTACTTTTAACCAAAATATCTTTTCTAATGTTCTTAACATAAAATTGTTTATTCATAATATATTGGTAGTGCGGTATACAAGTTAAAAAATAAATAATATAATTGTCAAAAATAAACAAGTACCTATTGACAGTTCTTGATTTGGGACGCTAAGAATGGCGGCCATTTTAACGATTCTAATTATCTTCCATTTTGAACAGACTTATATAACCTAACCTAATAACCTTCACAAAATGTACCGAGTAATTCTGAAAAATATCTGTTCCACAGAACGTTAATCTGAAGGATATGTCGATAGAAACAATTAAGAAACTGTTGTATCAACATTCTGATTCCGAGGCCAATACGCCATTAATGAACGATAAATTCAATTTGTGCCCGAAAATTTTGAAAGTAAAGGATATACTTGGAAGCGGAGCTTATGGCGTCGTCAGATTAGGTTCTTTGCAGGATCAGTTTAACAACACCACCAGTGTGGCGGTTAAAATGTTGAAAGGTAGAATATTTTTGAAAATGCAATTTTCAAAGTAGGTATATTAACTCGTATAAGTAGGTCCGAGTATGATTCAAGATAGAGAGATTTTGGATCAATTTTGATAGAGACATTTTGGATAAATTTCGACAGAGACATTTTGGACAAATTTCGACAGAGACATTTTGGATAAATTTTGACTGAGACATTTTCGATAGAATCACAACAAAAGAAACTAAATAACATTTTAATAGTCCTTTAGTATATTTAGATTTAGCATAACATCTCTGAACAAAGGAAACATTAATTTTTGTATTATTTTATAAAACTCGTAAGGATTATTAAGTCTCCCAGTAACGCAAGAATAAAACAGTTTTCGTGCAAATCACATAATTAAACATTACTTTGTTCATATTAGTACATTTTATGTAGCAATATTTAGTATTATCTATCCTCACAACGTTTGACAATTTAGTATGCGTGAGAATTGCAAAAGATCGAAAGAAGAAAGCAGGATTTCTGCTCGAATAATTACAACGATTTATCATTTCAACAACAGAAAATCCAAGTGTGGAAGATTTAAAAAATTTCTGTCAAGAAATAATGATTATGAAAGCTGCTGGTCAACACCCAAACATAGTGTCTCTGATCGGTTGTTGCATATTGGATAATAAACCAGTGTTGGTGGTGGAATATTGTTGTAAAGGGGATTTACAGTTGTATTTGAGGACGGTAAGTAAGAGAGACATTTATGACATAGAAAGTATCACGCGACATGGCGTGATTGAATTTTACAGTATTGTGTGATCGATGACAAATGTATTAATTGCGAACTGTGTTTCTATGTATATGTATATTTATAAGAAAAAATACCATTTTGGCAAAAACATTTTATCACGATTATTCGATTATCTATCCTCATAAGTTATTTATTCATAAACCAGTTTCATATATTCATTATTAAACTCTTGATTAAATTGCTCAATTGATTGTACATGTTTTGATTTCCTTAATTAATCAAAATAAATGAATTTCATTTGAATAAATATTTTTCTTAAAAAGAAAACTTTTTTATACCAAAATTTATTCATAAAATATTTTAATTGTTACACACAAAACTAATGAAAAATAGAACTTGCATATTTTTAACTGTTTATACTATTTTAGAATAGACTGTAGTACAGTCATTTTACTGATAGGAGACATATTGTTTGACAAGTGAATTCATGTAATTTCCATGACCGATTTTCAGATTTGGCAAAATATGGTGAGCGTTGCGTTCAAACATAAAGCACAATTCAAACTTGATGAGGATTTGTTGTCTATCAATGGCATAAAATACGATCCAAACACTTGTGGTATTTATTATTTGTTCATTCACGGGTGATTTAAAATGTCCAATAACAGAGCGCATATATCTTCTTATCTTTCTCATGTTAATTAGGTGGAAAAAATCACAATTATCAAAACGTTCAGACGATTACAAATCATTTATACGACATTCAGCAAGGTAATTGTTCTGAGTTATCGCGCGTTTTATTAAAACCAATATAGACAGATATTTAGTCAAATTAATATTTATGATGAAATATGACGTGATCACGTTATCAGCATAAGTTGAACTCCTATACAAATCGAAGAAATTTCTACTTAATTAATATATTGTTACCAGTATAAATATAGTCTACAAGTCTAATTTATCGGATTGAGTCCGCACACTTGAGCATATTTTACACTTCAAATATTGAATTTATCTAAATTCTGTTACTGAAGAATTTTTTCAACGAGGTCGATAAAATGTCTATCAGTTAACTTTCAACTATACACTTGCACAATTGAAAATTCAAAAAATAAAATAACAGTAAAATCAGAAAAATTTAATAATTGATTTAACAATTAACATTTTTAATAATTGTTCTTATGTCAGTAATATTTATTAAAATGTTACATGATCTCCTATATGGCAGTCATTTAATCTTTTCTGTCGGCTTTGAAATATGATTTGAATATCTTTAACTTCCAATAATAAAATAATTTTCGTCGTTTCTTTACAGATTTAGCGCAGTATACAGAAACAGTTACAGCAAACGACTTACTGAATTTTGCGAGGCAGATTGCCACAGGAATGGTAAAATTTTGCTTTATATGTGTCAATTTTTATTGAATAAAAGCTTGAATATTGCGTATATAATAACTTTGAACCGATTGTAGGAATTTTTGGCGTTGAATCGAATAGTACATCGTGATTTAGCTGCAAGGAACATACTAGTCTGCGAAGACAAGGTGGTAAAAATTTCAGATTTTGGCTTAAGCCGTGACGTTTATCAAGAGAATTTGTACAGAAAACAGGGAAGCGGTAAATTGCCTGTGAAATGGATGGCGATCGAATCTTTAACCCATCAGATTTACACTACTCACAGCGACGTGTAAGTCCTGTCCATAAATCACAATTATTAAATTAATCATTGTTCACCAGGTCCCAAAGTTCAACGACCAAAGTATCAAATTTTGTATTTCTGTTTCAAATGGTCTTTCTGTATAAATTTTGTATTTCTGTTTCAGATGGTCTTTCGGTATTTTGTTATGGGAAATTGTAACCATAGGTGCTCTTCCGTACCCCGGTATTCCAACGAACGTCATCCTGAAGCTTTTAAAGTCTGGCTACAGACTGGAACGACCTACAAGCTGCAGCGTAGAGTTGTACGTACAATTTTTGTATAATTACATAATTTCAAGAAACAAATATAAAGACAACTTAGTCTTTCAAAACGATACAATCTATACTACATAACACTAAAAACTATCAAATTGATTAAATAATCAGTTTACAAATTTTCTAAATTACAAAATTCATTAAAAAGATTTCTCGAAATCCACATCCATTTTAATCAGACATATCCATTTATTTTTAATTTCAATTTACGTGTACATTACGTGCGAGCATGTGACAAAAGAGAAAGAAAAAATTAACGTAATTAAATACCGTTCATGACAGGTACAACATCATGTCCTCCTGCTGGAACGTGAGGCCCCAGAGTAGACCTACGTTCACTGAATTAAAAGAAAGCTTAGACAAACTGCTTTCGCATTACTCTGAGAACAAATACTTGAACATTGACGAAATTTTGTACGATGGTCAAGAACAATATCACGTGGTAGACGATCACTTATAATATGTAAAAAAAAAAGTAGACCGTTTCTAATTGTACCATGTGCAAAATCATTTATTTTCTAGTTATACGTACAATAATCTGTGGCATAATTTCTTCATATACATACATATATTTATAGATACATCTATAAATATAAATATATATATATATGTATATATGTCTGTATGTACAATATCTTACTCTCAATCTTAAGAACTCAGGCGCAGATACATACATAAAAATAACTAAGGCTCCGCCATATTTGTTCGTACAATTATTCGACCGTCAATAACAATATTACACACAGCACACTGTAACCATGCCAGACATTTTCATTTTGCTCGTTTTATCATTTCAATTATTACAATCGTTTCTTCGTTCGATTTAATTAAACTAGAAAATCGTTCTGTCAAAAAGAATGATCGATCGACGAATCGAGCGTACAAGAAAAGGGAACCTATGAAGTAAACAGAAGTGATCTAACAGGAACTCGGTTGTCCGTCTTTACTATAATTGCAAATAGATAAGTATTCTTTTTGCGATGTGTCTAACAGCGACGTACGTGTACGTACATACGTTCCTGTTACACAGAGGAACTGTTAATCTTTCTTTTCTTTTCTTGACGCCATTGGCGTAACTAGCTTTCTTCTGATGTGATCTTTATTGAAAATATTAAATATCTAATTTAATTCTAGCAGTTTACAGCTTTAAGTTTTAATTCGTAATTGTATATTTCTATTGACATAAGATGATAAATGATTTGGATCACTTGTAATTTGCATTTTGAGAGGACCTGCCATTTTATCTAGTTACGCCAATGCTTGACGCTCAACTAGTCGATTCAGAGTAGCAAAAGTGTATTACAACTGTAATGGATGGCAAGAAGAACGATGAGTGTTTTTCTCTTGTATTCCTAAGGTCTACGAATGTCCGATCTCACTGAAATATCATTAGAATACTAGAAATTGATATGAAAAAGAGGATCCCCTTACGGAAACGATGCGATAGATCCTCGTTTAGTATCACCGAGAAATTTTAGCGCTTTTATCGGTTTTAAGCGTAGAAAGAAAAGAAACGATAACATATTACAATTGTATTATATATTATACTATGTACGCATATAACATTTGAAGAAAAGTGTCAGAAGTCATAGGACATTTTAGTACAATATAGTTTCCTTAAAATCATCTACTATAAACATAGTGACATTTTAAATAAAAAATTATTGTACTTATTTTCAAACTTGTGAAACAGAAATTTTATTCATTATTTTAGTACGGTTTTAAATAAATTATTGCACACATTTATTGCTATACACATAGCTAATAGTACGATCTAATTAAAGTCCGTTTCCATTTAAATATTTCAAGCTTTTTAATTTCTTTATGGAATTTAATTAGTGTCCTATGACTTTCGAAAGGAAGTATACTGTCGGAATTTTAGACTTCCTTAGGGGAAAATAATGACATAAAAGTACAGCAAATCATCAAGTATAGTTTTAAATGACAATGAAAAAAAAATCTTAATTTAAAAAATTCCAATTTTAAATTTTCAAATTCTTGAATTCTTCAATTTTTTAATTTCCAAGCATTTAAATTATTATAGTTCTTTAGTATTATAGTGAATGGTGTCTGATTTCCTTATATCGATATTTCCCCTAGGGAAGCCTATCTCCATATATCGTACATTATATTAAAATAATGTGTACAAAATTGAGTTAAATCTGTGTCAGCTGTTTTGTAAGACTGTATTCGCTTAAGAAATATTCGATAATAATTTTTTTTTAACAGATATACATAAAGAGAAAAGTCATTGAGAAAAAAAATCGATACGGAACAACCATAGAAAATATACAAATAGTAATAAAGAAACCATACATTATTTTTTACCCGTTGTAAATCGCAAAATGGTTTGGATTCTGTTGTGAATTTATCAATGTTTTGCGTGAGATGTGAAAGCATTTTTTCATATCGAAAAATGCGTTCAGTTCATGAAGATATATTACCGACATACATTATATTACTTTAAATCATTTATGTAATGGTTTTGAATTAAACAATAAAACTTTATCAATACATGGAACCCTAGTTGAAAGTTGGACCAATTTGACGAATATTTAAAATATGTATGTGTTTCGTGACGAACATGAAAAATTCGTTCTGGAAAAGGTTAGCTAAGTACAAAATGAAAGATTGCCTAGAAAACTTTAGAATCGACGGGGGTAAATTTGATTCAAGGACTTATTTTTTTTTGTTTCTCTCCTAGAAAAATTTCTTTAGTAATAGACTTTCATTGAATACTATCTTTTGCCACACGTTGATGTCGCTGCAAAGAATGACGTACCCTACGTAATTATACGATCTGCCTATATAGCGTAATAAAAAGTATCATTGTATCGTGATAATCTTAATATAAATGTAAATTCAACAAAAAAACATTATTCGATTCATAAATTCCTTACTTTAAGGAGCCAAAAATCACAGGCAATGTAGTCTTTATATCGGTACTCTTTTACCGATAGGAATTTTCAGAACTGGCATTCTTGTTGCCTATTGGTTTTGTTTCTTTTTTCTTTTTACTTGCGATGTTATCTATATCAGATACTATCGTTTCTACTAATTAAAGTATCTTCCTTGTCGACTGGTGGTGGACCGGTGGTCAAAGTGGTACTAGGACCAGCCGTTAGATAACCAGCAGACACCGGTGTTCCAGCTAAGTATCAAATAATAAATATTTCGTACCATATTTAATACACAAATAAAAAACATTTCGTCTTACCAGTTAGATATCCAGAATTGGTTGTGTTGGAAATAAACAGATCATGCCGTTGATCTTTGTATTCTGCCCAAACACTCGACTTCTCCAGTATAGCGTTCACTTTTTCACCTAACAATAAACTTCTGGTCATAGCTTTTAACGCTTTCACTATTTGAGCTTTTGTTGTTGCAGGATTTTCAAGACTATCCAACCGTCCGTCCAGTATATTTAACAAATAAGGTACCATTTCAGCATCCAGTGCCTATTAAAGTAATATTAACATAAATTGCTGTTATATTAGGAATTCGGTTTAATTAGTTTGTTACCTGTTTTATTAGTCTGTCCTCGTTAGTTGAAAACAATCTGTTCAATGTTTCACACGCTACTGCTATCATGTCTCGTCTAGACTGCATCGCATGTTTTAATGGACTTATACATTCCGTTTGACAAATGGAGGATATACAGATCTGGAAAAAATACGAATATCAATATTGATTGTGTTCAATATAAAAAATGTATCACGAGACTTACCTCACTTGTAGCTAATTGATGAAGTATTAATATTGCAGTTTTGTACACGGATGGTTGATTGTTTTGCATTGCCATTTGTCGGCATAGCCTAGGTATATGACCCAGTGATGGAACTTGATCCGCTAAGGTTGGTTGTGCTTGAAGTAAGCATACTAATGCTTGCGTCGCTAATTCCAACATATCGGACTGCATAAATAAAAATAAGGCGAATGATTATATAAAATAAATCATAAAATATATAGTTGCCTCAAAAGTTAACCTCAACTTAGAACTTAGAACCAAGGTGTAAAGAAGATGGTAGTTCAGTGATAAATTTTCCTAATTTTTATAAATCCCTACTTTCCCCTAGTAATCACATAACCACCAGCATTGAGGCATTTGGTGATTGCCATTGTTAAATGTACATTACCTAATAATATTAAAATTAAGGATAAATTATGCTCACATCAGTTTTCTCTTTAGACATGAGTGCCAATGTGGTATCCATTAGTTCATTTAAAAATTCCTTAGGTTTTCTAAGAGCCCATGCAGGACTGGCTATAAATAATCTAAGATATACACCTCCCACTACAGGTTCATTTGTTGCGATATCAATATTATTTTGAGTATCAGGTAACTTTAATATTGCATTAGGGTTTCTTCTTTGCAATGTGTAATATCTAAAATAAAATTAATACCGTAAATTGAAGTAACATTTTGCTGTAACCAACTAATTCTTCAAAATCAGGTACATACTCATCTTTCAATTCGGTTACAATTCTTGAAACTCTAGCTTTGGCAATGTCATCCCAGATCAATTCAGGATTCTCGTGTTTCGTTTCAAACATATGTACACATTGTTTAGGAGCATCCCTGATAGCTTCACTAAATAGTCTAGGTAAAAATTTAGAGAGATGTAGCTTCACTTTTGGACCAGCTAATTTATCAGATGACATTTTGCCAAGTAGTTCTGCTGCCGCTTCACGTATTTGAGTATTACTTGAATTACAAAATAAATCAAGAACGTATACAACAGCACCTAAAATTTTCATACATTTTCATACGAAACATTGCGAGAATAACTTTACAACTTATAAATAATGTAACACTTCACTCGCGCTTACCTTTAGATAATGCATCTTTCACGATTTTCGTGGAACTCATAAGAGCGTACAAAGTCTCCAGTATAAGTAGCTGACATTCTTTCAGAGTGTTCAAAGCTAACAATAAATGTACTATAACCTCATTCGCCGCGATGTCGTCAACGCATTCTTGATTTTTTGTAACGTTACTAATCACTTCAAGTGCGCTTTTTTGGATCAACTTGAAATTGTTACAACTTAAAAGAGCAAACAATAATTTGAAGTGTCCTATACACTGCAATTCGATCCCCGGGTTATTTTTTATCACATTTCTCAAAGCTTCCAGAGACATAACAATATGTTCCAGTTTTTCCTGATCTTTCTTAGCTAAAGCTATATTTCCCACTGACGATAAAAATTTGGATGATTCAGACAAGAAGTCAAGCAAATTGATAGTAAAACTTTTTGGATTCTGTAAAATGTTATAATTTTTCAATGACCATTTTATTTTTCTTTTTTATATTATGAAGCATGAACGTACCTCTATTGGAAAATTGGGTTGCTCATTATATATTTTCACGAATATTTCTCCAATAACAAGTTCACCAGCATGAATGCTATACTTGAAATCACTGAAATCGTGTTCGAAACTATCGCTACCGTTCAATCTTTCTTGCCGTTTTATTTCCAAGTACTCGTTCAACTCAGCCCTTGTACCGTTATCCCAAATCAGATATGGATTTGAACAATTAGAGTTTAAGATCTTTAATATCTCCTTCGGTTTGTCTTTCGCAAGTTGCCTCGCCAGGTAAGGAGTTAATAAACTTTCTAAGGCAGCGACCGTGACAGGATTAACAGGTGTTTCATTTTCTCCTGTCAAATAGCCACCTAACCTAGCACAAGCTCGAACTGCCAATTTAGCTAAATTATTCGCCACTTCTTGACGGTTTTCTTCTTGGTTTCTTTCAACTCCACCCTCTTCTAGCGTGTAATCGTAATTAAACATAAATAACAATAAATGCCACAAAGCACCGGATTGTAACAGTTGCATTTGCAACACACTGTCTGTGGCGAGAGAAGAGACACATTCTGTGGCCACTGAACATAACTTTGTTAAATGCTGTAAGGAAATAGATGATAATTTTAGTTGTTAAAAATTTAATCAATTTATATAAATTTGAACATTTTACTAAAAGATATCGGTAACCTTAATAAAACGAGGACTAACCTTGAAATATAATATTCTACAGAGATCCTTAACCAACTGTGGTAGCTCAATGATTCTGTCTTTGCAACCTCTAAATGATCCAGCAACCGAGAAACATCTGGTAATATGCATGCACACTTGCACTGCTATATCAGTAGGCTTACTCGATTTATTCAAAACAGAAACACATCGCGTGTATGCTTCTAACAGAACATCTAGTCCACCTTCTCTGCGAAGTTCTTCCGCGTTCAAAGCAGAACAATGTACAGTATGATATGCAAGTTCACTGGCGGCAGCCAAAAGTGGCGCAGACTTCGAGAACAACTGTTCATCGTCTGTTTCCAACTTGATTGTTTTGATTAACTGCGGATAACCTGCGTATTTATAAGGTCTAAGTTCGTCGGAATATCTGTGGAAGAGAATGCTTTGCGTTCTTAAAATTAGCACTATATTATCTGGATTTGGACCGTCAGTTGACCAACAGCTTCGACTGCATAAAAATTCGTATGCTTGATTAACGGCTTCGAATTTATCCTGCAGACAGAAATAAGTTTCGTAAACCATAAATGTCGATGGTTTTATAAATTAACATAAGCTGAGATCAACGTACTCTGCCTTGTGGATTTTTATCAGGGTGAAACATTTGTGCAAGTTTATAATATGATTTTCGAACTTCAGCCTCATTATGTTGCTTTCCATTTGATAACTGAAGAACTTTATATGCTTCATCCACTGTCATTAATGGTGGTTTTTTCTCTACTTCTTTTTTCCATGCATCTAATACGTCTTTCAGTAACCTTACCTAAATATTGAACGTCATTAAGTACATTTCATAAAAGTATAAATAAATATCTGAAAATTATTACTAATATTAACTTACTGGTTCTGGAATAGGCCACTGCGGGAACCTTACGGTATCGCAAAGATGTCTCAAATAGAATATTTGACAGAACAATTCCTTCTCTAATTGTGGATATCGCACAGCAGGTATGGCAATATACTGATATCTAGCCATGGTATGACTTCTTAATTTTGGAGAGAAATCTGCTATATGCGTCGCTATTTTTTCGATGAGCATTCTTCTCATTTCAGCGTTCCAAATGGCTTCTGGTGTATCATAATCACCAAGAAATATCTGCGCGAATTTTTCTGCACCGTGGTTCTCCAAATAACTAACCATCGCGTCGGGTAAAAGTTGTCCAAGAATGCTACGTTGCATAATATCTGATGACACATTCTAAAACATTCAACGATAAAAATGACATAATGACTAATTTATATCGCAATTACAAATAAATGTTTCACACTTACATCGTCACTTCTGAAAGCTTGTTTTGTATGAGTTAATTGTAAAAATCTTGCTATCGGTAGAACGTTCGATCCAGTATACATTAAGATGAAGTAAAAGACACCAGTAAGATAAATTTTCGAAACGTCTGCATTGTCCCGCATTATTTCGCACAATAAAGTAGCTACCTTCTCAACTAAAACCGGATCAAAAGTTAATAAAAGTTGAACG